ATACGGGCCCCCAAAATTTGTCCGCGTTGGAATTATGTTAGCTCTGACATGATGCACTAAAAACTGCACAGAACACTGTCTCGACAACAAATGAAATTTGCAACGTATTGCGGAGGTTGTACAGGTAGTGGTGTTGGGCAGATACGACAGTGTCACCTACAAACGTCGCTAAAATAAACACTTCAATTCAGGCATCCATTTTACGAGGTGTTTCCATATTTTCGTCCATCCCCTGTTGATCCACGCATTCTTAACTTCAGCAAGAGATGGAGTTGTCAGCTTCACGCCCACGGCTGTAAACTTCCGGTACCCACTGGATTGGAGACTGGGTGGATCCCAGAGCCGGTCTCAATGCGACGGAGAAGCAAACATTCTCTTACACTAATCGGGAATCGAACTCTAACTCTTCCATTTTCCAACCCATAGCATAGTCGCTATATTGAACGGGATTTTTAATTTCTTGAGTTGTGCAGACTCAGGAGGCGGTCTGGATGTAGAAAAGGTGAAAACGCTCTTACCCTAGCCGGGAATCGAAACCCGACTCCTCCACTTTTTATTTCATTGCGTTCAATATGATTTCCATGGAATATTACTTTGTCTTCTTAACTATATTTTTGTGTCCTTGTAAAAAAGATAAAGTTATTCCTGTAACAGGACGTGGAGGCCCATAGGGTTGTGAGACGTCGAGGCTCCCACATTTTTCTAGAAAATCGGCTCACAGATGGCGGTCAGGTTGCAGCCTTATGCGACGGCCGCCCTTTACTCCCCAGGAAGTTTCCTGGTACTCATTTCTGTTAGAGGCTGAGTTGACCTCAGGGACATAGTATGGCTGGAAGGATTTGGTCAATTGAAAAATGCAATGACCTCATCGGGAATAGAAACCGCGACCTACAGGGTTGTAGCATAGTGTCCCAACCAACTACGCTACTGCGTGCCCCACCCACGTCTCTCTCTTTCAGGAATTTATTTCTTCTTCTTCCTAATTTCTCTGCCCATACAAAGATCCCTACAGTCACACAAGTCAACATACGAAAATGAAAATTACGAATATCAGAAGTCACAATGAGATTCGAACAAACGAATGCTTCGCGTGATCGACCTCATTCTTCTTCGATTTAAACTGACGGAATCATGACGTATCTTTTAGTCATTAATAATATACATTAATATTTAAACAAGCGCTCTTAATGTGTACATTGTTTGGCCTATGGTGAACGTAAGATGCTACCGGTTATGATTTAAGAACTCAAGAATATGTGGCTGTTAGTCTTTCATTTTTACAGATGCGCTTCAATGCAGAAGTTAGCTAATATACACAACAAACACGTAACTAAGCTCCTTGTGATTCACTGAACACAGAGCTTCCCTAGCTGAACACACAGACGTGGATCGGGTGGTCTAGGTATTTTCAACAAGAAACAGGGTTCAAGATGGCCATGACTCTAAGGACCCAGACCGCATGCCTGTTGCATGTTGAATACTTGGCCTAATCAGCGGCGCCAATTACGAATGTAGGAAATATTAATAGTGTGATTCATATCGCATTGTAACGCATTTAATCAAGTCTTCATTCAAGTATCATCTCATACTTAAGCTTGATACCTCGGAACAACACAGTACAGTCATTAATCACTGTTTGCTGTACACAGAACAAGACAAAACTCTAATAAACTATCAAACAAGAAGTAAAACATCACGTTCTAAGGAAAGCATTATCTTCTGCGATGTGGCGCCGTGCGTTCCAGTAGAATTTCACAACGTTTCGGAAGTACGTAAAAAGAAAAGGCTAAACTATCCCCATAACAGGCCATGAAGGACAATAGGGTTTTGAGACGTCCAGGGTCCCACATTTTCAGACAATCGGCTCACATATGGCGGTAAGTTTGTCAGCCTCATGCGCCGGCCGCCCTTTACCCCCGGGAAGATTCCTGGTACTGTGTAAGATTTGAGGCTTTCACGGCGGTGACTATGAAGAAAGCAGTCTTCTGGGATTTGGCACCGTGTATATGTGGTGTTAACCGACGTTTCGGAGGAACGTATCGCCTCCATCTTCAGGGCGATACGTTCCTCCGAAACGTCGGTTAACACCACATATACACGGTGCCAAATCCCAGAAGACTGCTTTCTTCATTCCTGGTACTCATTTATGTTTGAGGCTGAATCGACCCCAGGGCCATAGTGCGGCTGGAAAGATCAGGAAAACTGAAAAAAATCTAATGACCTCATCGGGAATGGAAACCGCGATCTTCCGGCTTGTAGCATAGTGTCTTTAATATTTATTTACTATTATGTTTTCCCACCGCGGCGGATCGAGTTCGATCCCAAGTCTGGTCAAGTGGGATTTGTGGT